GATTACTGTCATTAAGTTTTATGAAGAAAATGCAATAAAATTAATGTCCCTGCTTTGAATTTTCTGATCACCAGGTTCGAGGACATTTAAATTCCACATTCTTGGAGAAGAGTTAGCTGTATTAATCAAGTCTGACACACAATGCAGTGTAGAATATTGAACTCACTGTGTAAAATGCATATATAATGAGGATTCGTGAAGCTTTATTTAATGGCAGAATAGTTTAAAGTCTCTTTTGTATACCCTAGTACAGACAATGTTGTTTTGTGGACTGTTTACAATTTGCTTTAATAAAATGTTTTAAGATATCAACGTATCAAAAATACAATGTTTTTACGCATCTAAATAATTATACCTGTAAGTTAAGCTTTATCAATCTAGAACTAATTTTACCATTTAAAACTTCAAACTGAATTTTAAGATTTAACTTATTTTTCTATTTATTATCATTATTCTGTACTACTGGTACTTTAATAGAATGGTGATGCTACATGAAGTGACTTGTATTGGACATAAATATAGGATAGAAAATTAATCAACAATTTTCTTTCATAGCAAATTAAATGAAAAAATGCTCCTTACCTTTTAGTATGCAAACTTCACAAAAAGAGATAAACAATGCTATTCAATAAAGGTTACGTGAGGTTTTTAAATTTGACTTTAAAAATATTTACTGAGAGAGCTTAGTGGTCATTGAATTCTAAGTGGGAACACTCTGAATACAAAGCCTGGGGTATTAGACTGAACAGTTTACAGCATAACCTTTAAATTAATAAGATCAATGATTGATCACAATACAATCTAAATAGCTGGCTCATTCTAGTTCTGGGTAAAAGCCTAATCAAATTGTTTACAGTGCCGGGGTCCTCATTCAATCAAGAGGTCAATTTAGATATTTGTGTTCTTTGCAGATTTTAAGGATAAATAAATAGAGATTTTTTCCCCCTAGATTACACATACAGTCAAATCTTGTTATCTCACACCCAGTACAAGAAACAGACAAAATTCAAAATTATATCTGAAAATTGAAATAGGAGGGTTTATAAGTTATCAATAACATAAATAAAAAGTGTTCGGGACTTAAAATTCATTTCAAAATATTTATGGTTATTCAGATATTGATGTTTAAAATATTGAAGTTCAACTGTATTTGAAATCATGGAATCCAGTTGTATGATGCCATAATGACTTGACTGAGTAGTACCAAATCCTTCCACACCTATGATACATTTATAATCATACATAAAAAATATACTCAAGATTATCCCTGTAACTTTCCTTGAGCTGTTTTAAGTTAGATAAGACACACTTTCAATTGACCATTATCAGTATATCTCCTTTTAAGCATTGTGACAAATAGTGGAGTTATTTAAGATGAATCAATATACAACAGACTTTACACTTGTAGTCTAGTAAATTTTTTAATACCTGCACATGTAGTTCAATTCTTCCAAAGGAGGAATAACCAAGTCAATAAATCTAATATAATAAATGTGAAAATAATAAAATAATACATTCAAATGAAATCACATATTCATTTACACAATACGCAAAGTGATCAGTATTTCAGACTATAAGTGGACTAATAATTATTATTTATATTTGGGGTTAAAAAATATATTGTATTCTGGCCATTTCTTCGGGCAAACTTGAATCTACACTATCTCAGGATACTTCCATATCAATATTACTGATCATGGATTTGCTGAAAATTTTTACTTTTAATGATTTTTTTTTTCACATATGTACATGTATGAATTCCTATGTAAAACTCTGATTGCTCATTGTGGCCCAAGTACATGTATGAAACTAACATAGACAAGAGGCCCATGGGCCATATCATTCACCTGAGCACATGGGCTAGTTAAAAAACACAAATCAAGTCAGTATTGAAAAGTTTACTTGTTGGGGGAAGGGGGGGGGGGTTGAATTTTTATTACTTGAGAATGTCACTATATCAATAAAGCATACATTTATATAATTTTCCATACTTGAGAAGGAGAGTTTTAAAGATTTTTCCTATATAATTCTATCTAAAGATTTGATTGCCCATTATGGCCCCACCTTAGCCCCAGGGGTCATTATATGAACAAACTTGAATTAACTCAAACTGAGGATGTTTCCATATTAATAATACCAATCATAGCTTTGCTGATCTTGAGAAGAAGATTTTTAAAAGATTTTTCCTATATATTCCTATGTTAAACTTTGATCAGGCATTATTGCCCCACCCTTTCCTCAGGGATCATGATTTGAACAAACTTGAATCTACACAACCTAAGGATGCTTCCACATGAGTTTCCTCTTTGCTGGCCCAATGGTTTTGGAGAAAAAGATTAAAGATTTTTCCTATATACTCCTACGTAAATATTCATCAGCCATTATGGCCCCGCCATACCCCCGGGGGTATATCCTATATATTCCTATGTAAAACTTTTATCAGCCATTGTTGGCCCGCCTTACCCCCGGGGGACATGATTTGAACAAACTTGAGTCTACACTACCTGAGAATGCTTCCACATGAGTTTCATCTTTCCTAGTTCAATGGTTCTGGAGAAGAAGATTTAAAAAAAAATTCCTATATATTCCTATGTAAAACTTTGATCAGCCATTGTGGCCCCGCCCTATCCCTGGGGTCATGATTTGAATAAACTTGAATCTACACTACCTGAGGAAGCTACCACATGAGTTTCATCTTTCTTGGTTCAATGTTTCTGGAGAAGAAGATTTTTAAAAAAAATTTCCTTTATATTACTATGTAAAACTTTTATCAGCCATTATGGCCCCGCCCTACCCCCGGGGAATATGATTTGGACAAACTTGAGTCTTCACTACCTGAGGATGCTTCCATATAAATAAAACCATTCATGGCTTTACTATTCTCGAGAAGAAGATTTTTAAAGAATTTTCCTATTTATTTCTATGTAAAATTTTGATCAGCCATTGTGGCCCCGTCCTACCCCCGGGGTTATGATTTGATCAGACTTGTATCTACACTACCTAAGAATGCTTCCACATGAGTTTCATCTTTCCTGTCCCAATGGTTCTGGAGTAGAAGATTTTTAAAAAATGCCATTAATTTTTCATTAACTCATAATTATCTCCCCTTGGAAGAGGGCTTGGCCCTTTATTTGAACAAACTTGAATCCCCGTTACCCAAGGATACTTTGTGGCGAGTTTGGTTGAAATTGGCCCAGTGGTTCTTGAGAAGAAGATGAAAATGTGAAAAGTTTACGACAACGACAACGACAACAACAACGACAACAGACAAATTTTGATCAGAAAAGCTTGCTTGAGGCTTCGGCTCAGGTGAGCTAAAAATGTAAAAATTCATTCTGAACTTTAGTATTTTAAAACTTTAAGAATGATTTATATGCCTTATCTTACCAACAAACAATATCTATCCTAGCTGTTGGACTGAACTTTGCAATCTTTCTCTTAGCTGCAGAACTGTAGTGTTTAACCAATCTGTATATTTTATCCACCTCTAACCCTTTAAAGTTGTCTTTACAGGCAATAAACTTGCTTGATTTGTATTTTCTGATGGATTGCAGAATAATATTCAAATCAGATAGTTAATTACCCCTGTACAGAGGACTATGAAGGGTTGGAAGGTGGATAAAATGTACAGGTTGGTTAATAGATAATATGTCTAGAATTAGGGAATGAAAGGGAGTTGGTTGGCCAATGCTAGAAATTAGTTGAGAAATTCTCCCCAACAATGCACAAAAAATCTTGTGCCATAAATTGCACATTTTTTGCATTATAGGATCTGTAGCATTATGGTCAAAGACTAATATAAGACTAATATATAAAACCATATCGCTACAGCTCTGAAGCTATCGAAAGTGAATAAAGTTCTGGCAACTCTTTCAGCCCATTTTCTAAATATTTGGACAATATGAAAATAAGTTGATATAACCCTAATTAAAATTTCAAAAAAAAATAGCTGTCACTTTTATTTCTATGAATTATTTGAGAAATGGAACAGTGTTTTAGAAAGCCTTTTGTTAAGCAGATTCTTGAAACTATTACATGTACATGTAGACTACAGCAGTATTGTTAAAGAGTAATCGATTACCATATCAATCAATATTTCTTTGTTGAACTTGTCATACTAACAGTGAATTGTTTTAATGTGCAAAAATGAAAGAAGATAACAAAAGAAAAAAAATGGTTTTCTTTTTCAACATTACATAATCACATTTGTTTATATTTGAAGGCTCTGAATATGTCATTGGGGCACTCCTGAAATAAATTTATCCAGATATTATAATTTAAGAAACAAATGATCATACCTTGTGCACTCATTCATGATCATGCTTGATTACAATTCTAAGGGGCACTCATTAAGTGTGTATTTCAGGTCCTCATGAAAGGGCTCTCATAAATTAATTTTGACAAATGTTTACTAGGATCGTATTAAAAAAAAATTGGGGTTTTGTGCATGCATCATATGGGGTGCAGTTACTAGCACACGGTCATTAAACAAGCAGCAAAACTGGAGTTATGGTATAATCACAGACACTTGAAACTGAATACAGAACATAGATTGAACCATCTTTGGAAAGACTTCAAAAATGGCAGTGATACATAATTTTCTTCAAATTTAGAGTTAGAAAAGATCAATTTTATTATGTTACATTTATATATCCAGATATTGTGCATATTTGGGAAAATGTCACATATGCTAATAAAGACATAAAAAATATCTTCTTCTTTCTAAAACTAGCAGAGGAAATTCGGGCTAAGTAAATCCCCGCGCATATTTTAAAAGTGTGTAGTTTTTTTTATATGTTGACCTTGTTTAGACACAAAGGTTTTTATGGTTTGTTTATCACATACCTTTCTGTTTTTGGACGAAAATGAAATGACTCAGAAAGTCAGATATATACCACTCAACTTGGTTGCTGCAGACGCTTTCTTGGTTCACTGAATATGCGCACAGAGACCGGAAACACTTTTCGAGTTACCTCTAATTCATATTAAAATTCAGAGAGGTCAAACATGGCGACGATTAATTTTTTTCAATGGAACCTCACATGTCTTGCGAAAAGTGTTGATTTTACTTAAATATGTAGTGAACATCGAATTGGTTATTTGATACTCATCTGGTAAACAATTAAACTGATATGTTTATACATTGCTTTTACTCATCATATCCACAACAGCAGAGGAATTAGAAAATAAATGATGACCTTCTAACTCCTCTGCACTGTGTTTAGTTTGTTGGTTTCATTTTCAACCATGACATCGAAGAAAGAAGTTCGCATTTTACTTGTCGGGGATCGTAAGCATGATTTTTACTGCTATTTCTTTATAACTATTTAAATGAAATTATATGTCTTAAATAATACAATGTAGTGAGGAGTTGCAGTTGATGAAGTTGCATAATCATTAACAGTAGGATGATAGATAGGGATGCTTCCTCTTGTTTCCAATCCCTGCATCCTTCTCAAACTAGTACTAGTAGTTAATCTTACCATGCTTACAATAACTGAAATCTTTTTGCTGTAGATATAATTATATTATCCATCTACAAAAGCGTTAATCAAACTGAAACTAAAATATTTTATGATTGATTTGTTCAGCTGGTGTCGGGAAGACTTCTTTGATTCTAACTTTGGTGAGTGAAGAGTTTCCAGATGAAGTTCCAGCGAAAGCTGAGGAAATAACCATTCCAGCAGATGTCACACCAGAGAGAGTTCCCACACATATAGTGGACTATAGTTGTAAGTTATACATACATGTCACCACACATAATATAACTATAGTTTTCTGTTATACATAATGTCAAACCTGTGATCCCCATCTTCCCGAGTCAAGAGTTTCTAATCCGCTCTGCTCCACATAAAACCTTGACCGAAGAGACCAAGTTTGATGGGGTTAGAAATGCGTTCTCTGATTGGCCTCATGCAAGTTTGCATGAACCAATCAAAATTATTGTTTTATTTAACCTGAAACTAAATTGCAACAGAAAACATGCCAGTTTTAGTCCCAAGGATAACGTCTTTATCATTAAATAGCCCAGTTAAAGGATTGTCTCAGCTTTTTAGTTGAGTTACATTGAATATATTACCGACTTCCAATATTATCTCGAATTCGCTGTTGAAGACGTTTACTCTGATTGGCCAGTAGCAGAGGTCAGTAAAGTTCAAAATGTGTAATCTCACTAGATGGCATGACAGTAAACCCTGTCAAACTTAGTCTATTCGGTCAAAGGTTTATTTGGAGCAGAGCGGATCAGAAACTCTTGACAAGGGAAGATGTTTTCTGTTATACATAATGTCAAACCTGTAATCCCACGCACCTTGCAGGGTTCGACACTAACATTTTTAGGCTTTGGTCCGGCTGGACTAGTGCTTCTTTACTTTTACTAGTCCGCGGGCAATTTTATGAGTCCATTAAAAATTAAATAGATAAATAGAATTTATGTTGCTATGTACTTTTTATACTTTTTTGAAATAAACAAAGCATTTATATAAAATGTTTTTATTAAGAATTCGTTGAAATCGCACAGTCAGGAACTACGATTGTATTCCTGATCTCATTCATTTTTCTCTATACATGATTACATCATCCAAACATCCGACATCTTTCTTTATGTGTCATACTAAATCCTGATCGCTAAAATGTTTAATTTCATACCAATGAGTCCTAAAATTAAGCGCCAAATTGACTCAGAATTACATAACATCGCCAAGAAGCTAGAAAGCTAAAAATAAATACAGGGTTTTCCATTGAAAGTTGTCGAACATCAGTAACTTCTTTTTTCCCCCAGAAAACTTTATTAGTCCGTTCGGACTAATTAGCTACTAATTTTATTAGTCTGAAGGAAAATGTATTAGTCTGAGACTAACGGACTAATGTTAATGTCGAACCCTGCCTTGTGTACTATAGCTCTAAGTCAAACTTATTCCAATGTGTGTTTATTTGAAGAATATCATTATTGAGTTTATTTTTAGCTCAAGAGCAAGATGAAGATGTCCTTCAAGAAGAGTTGTCAAAGGTGAATTTTCAAACACTTGTGTAAATTTTTTTGAATGATTAACATTAATAGTTTACCAATAGAAATTTAATATATTATTAAAATCCAGAGAATTTCAACATAATTTACAGTGCAAGTATGTCAGAAGAGTATATCTCTTACTTGAGGGTCAGCGAACCTAATATACAAGAGATATGAATTTTCTGGTCTATATTTCCATCAGAGAGAATTCTTTCATTATGCAAAACATTTTTAGTCATAGTGTATTTTATGAATAACTTCTTGACATAAAGATTGAGGACAAAGAATTAAAATTTTCCAAATTTATTTCAAGTATATATGTTTTTAAAACTTTTTTAGTCCAATGTGGTCTGCATCATATACTCTGTGGATGATGATGACTCAATTGAAAGGGTAAGATTTTTTTTGTGCTACTGAAGTAAAAAGTTATGATGAACTTTTTGTAACAGTCATTTTTAGGCTCAATCAGTAAAGATTATCAAGGGAGGGTCAACAATAATTTGTTCAGTGTTCTTGTTGTGCAGATCTAGGGGAGTCTAGAACATGTCTACATTAGATAATACAAGAGAATATTATATATATATTTTTTAATGTTTGTGTCATTAACTCTATAAATCCATTGACAGATCACCTCTTATTGGCTGCCTTACATTCGGAATCACCTCGGGGAGGATCATAAGACTCCTGTTATACTGGTGGGAAACAAGTGTGATCTGATGGATTTCAGCACAGAGGAGGTCTGAGCTCTCATCTTACTATTATCTTTGACACATTAATTTTGTGTTCTTTACATCATAACTAGTCAAAATATGCAAAAACCAAATACAATGCAGTTTTCTAAAATGAATGTTACATGATAGTTTTAGACTAAGAAACCCTATAAAGGAATTTTGTTAACTAATATCATTCCTGAATGAATTTCAGCTGAAATATTTATCTACTCGCTTTGCTATTTAAGGTGATGCGACCAATAATGAATGATTTTGCTGAAGTGGAAACTTGTGTTGAGGTGATTGTTTGAAGCACATAACTTCTGATAATGAATATATAAATTAAATTTACAATTTGTTCAGGGTGTGATTTAATTTAATTAAAAATTGTTTTTCCAATTTAAGTGTTCAGCCAGAACCTTAAAAAATATCAGTGAGATGTTTTACTATGCACAAAAGGCTGTCCTACACCCAACTGCAGCTGTTTACAACTCAGAGGAAAAAGAGGTAAGTGGGGCCAAATTTAAAAGAATGTTTGCTTGCCCTCTCCTGACTCACGATAGAATTACTAGGTCAGTAGGTAGGTGCAGTGTTCGAAATTTGGAATTATTTTCTGTGGATCCAAAAGCCAACTGATAAAGGGTCTACACAAGTCCTTCCAAGGCCTCATAGGCCCAAAAATAATACCATCAAATATTTTGGGAAAATAAACTTTAATTGACAATCTTGGTAAGTTTATCGATTCCTTTCTAGCTGCAATAATGTAGCTCTCTCCCTTTTTTGGGGGGTGGGTGGGAGAGGACTACAACTCCTTAGGATCTCCGTAATGGTGCAATGCGGCAGCGATTCACTTCCGCACGGATTTCAGCTCAAATTGTCAGTAAATGGCTATTTAATTAATATGTCTTACCTGGACTTCCAAAATGTAGTTATCCCAGACATAAATCAATCCAAAAATATACAGAACAATCCATATGTCCGTATTTTTCGTGTATGTCAACATCACAACTTAAATTTATTCGCCATGTTGACTGACCTTGACAGATTTTATTTTGGGACAGCCAAGGAGATAAAGGATATATAGGGAGCAGATTTCTTTGGAATTACCTTATTTTAAGCCTAAATATTGTTGTTTACGAAAAAAATAACTGGAATGATTTTATTTATCGATGTTTAGTGTTACTATTCATCACAATTATTTATAATCATCAACATTTGCTTTATTGAATTATTCTAAATTTCAAGCGCAAGTCTCAGTACATCATGCTTGAACTGTCTTGGCTGCTGAGTAAGGCACAAAGATTTATTTTACATGGTTTTCGCGTTTAACGGGCTATGATGTTGACAGTGAATAAAAATTTCATCTTATTAGAAGTAAGTTGAATATAAAAACAATTTATTCTGCCAGCAGTCGCCCGTATTTAAAAAATACATGTATTTTTGCACCATTACGGAGATGCTGTGGAATTGTAGCCCTCTCCAGAAAACATCAGATAAAAAAATCGGAGAGGGCTACATTATTGCAGCTAATAGAAACTGAAGCTAAACAAATTGGGGGAGGAAATGCTAGGTGATATAAAAATGATCATTCCTCTTCATATTTAAGTGAAGATTGACTAGGATGACATATTTATATTTCAACTAAAGTTACAGTTAACATTCTTTATAAAAATTGCATCAGCTGATTGAAACTGGCACAGATATGGTAGCAATTTGAATGTGTCGGTCGGGTAATGGAAAAAAAACATATTTATAGGCCTTCTTTCTTGGCAAATCATCATCTGCCCAAAATCGTTTCAAGGATTCATTTAGTTATACTATACATGAGTCCTTCCGTTTGTACGTCGGCGCAGGACCGACGGACAGACGCTAATTTTGAATACTGGGTAGGTGGGAAAATCTTTTTTCCTGAAAATTTCAACATTTTTGTAGATGAAAGAAGAGGAATAAAAAGAATAAAATATCATGTCCTGGAATTAAAAAAAAGGTTTCGAGTCGGGCCATTTTAGTCAGTCAGACAGGAGAGGACAACCAAACAATTTTTTTGAGATGGCCTTGGAGAAAAGTTTTATGTTGATCAGGAAATTGGTTGTGAAATTTCAATTATTTGTGCAATGTATGTGACATATTGAACAAATTTTTCATATCCATTTTAGCTAACATTGCAGTGCAAGAAAGCTCTGACAAGAATATTTAAGGTATGATAATCAAAGGTTTGATATTTGTATTCACGAATCAGATTGAATCACTCTCAGTATATCCAGTATAATTTTATCTTGCAGAAGATGCAGTATGGAGTATAATGATTTTTTTGATTGATTTCAGATCTGTGATTTAGATAATGACTCTATTTTAAATGACGATGAAGTGAACTTATTTCAAGTAAGTTTTGAACAGTGTTGAATATGTTCATGAAAAGAACAAGTCTTCTCTTATTCTTTTCTTTGTAAATTTGTAATTAGAATTAGAAATAGAATATGTCTTCTATAAATCTATTTGTAATCAGGATTGATGAATTGTGTGCATTATAATCTGCTCTGCCTGTACTTTACAGTTGAAATGTTTCCATGCCCCACTCCACGCCCAGTCACTAGAAGATGTAAAGGCCATAGTAAAGAGAAACATTTCTGATGGGGTTGTCAATAATGGTTTATCTCTCAAAGGTCAGCCTGAACGCTCAATGTACTGAATTTTTAGCTCACCTGAGCCAAAGGCTCAAGTGAGCTTTTCTGATCACAATTTGTCCGTTGTCTGTCGTCGTTGTTGTCGTTGTCGTCATCGTCGTTGTCGTTGTTGTTAACTTTTCACATTTTCATCTTCTCAAGAACCACTGGGCCAATTTCAACCAAACTTGCTACAAAGTATCCTTGGGTGAAGGGGGTTCAAGTTTGTTCAAATGAAGGGCCACGCCTTTTTCCAAGGGGAGATAATTATGAATTAGGGAAAAATAAATGGCATTTTTAAAAAATCTTCTTCTCAAGAACCACTGGTCCAGGAAAGATGAAACTCATATGGAATCATCCTCAGGTAGTGTAGATTCAACTTTGTTCAAATCATGACCCCAGGGGCTAGGATGGGGCCAAAATGGCCGATCAAAGTTTTACATAGGAATATGAAGGAGAAATCTTTAAAAATCTTCTTCTCAAGAACCACTGGTCCAGGAAAGATGAAACTCATGTGGAATCATCCTCACGTAGTGTAGATTCAAGTTTGTTCAAATCATGACCCCCGGGGCTAGGGTGGGGCCAAAATGGCCGATCAAAGTTTGAAGGAGAAATCTTTAAAAATCTTCTTCTCAAGTACCACTGGTCCAGGAAAGATGAAACTCATGTGGAATCATCCTCAGGTAGTGTAGATTCAAGTTTGTTCAAATCATGACCCCCGGGGCTAGGGTGGGGCCAAAATGGCCGATCAAATTTTTACATAGGAATATGGAGAAATCTTTAAAAATTTTCTTCTCAAGAACCACTGGTCCAGGAAAGATGCAACTCATGTGGAATCATCCACAGGTAGTGTAGATTCAAGTTTATTCAAATCTTAACCCTGGGGCTAGGGTAGGTCCAAAATAGCCGATCAAAGTTTTACATAGTAATATGTAGGAGAAATCTTTAAAAATCTTCTCCTCAAGAACCACTGGCCAGGAAAGATGCAACTCATGTGGAATCATCTACATGTAGTGTAGATTCAAGTTTATTCAAATTATTACCCCCAGGGCTAGGGATGGGCCAAAATGGCCGATCAAAGTTTTACATAGGAATATTAGGAAAAATCTTCTTCTCAAGAACCATTGAGACAATAAAAGATGAAACTCATGTGGAATCATCCCCAGGTAGTGTAGATTCAACTTTGTTCAAATCATGATCCCCGGGGGTAGGGTGGGGCCAAATGGCCGATAAAAGTTTTACATAGGAATATATAGGGAAACCTTTTAAAATCTTCTTTTCAAGTACTTCAAAGTCATGCTTAGTGGTATCTATAGGGAATCATCCTCAGGTAGTGTAGATTCTAGTTTGTTCAAATCATGACCCCCTGGGGGGTTAAAATTCAAGCCCTCCCCCCACCCCTCAGTAAACTTTCAGTTCTGATCTAATATGTGCTTTTTCCTAGCCAATTGCTCAGGTGAGTGATGTGGCCCCTGGGCCTCTTGTTTAAAATTAATATTTAATGTTGTGCTCTAACATAATAGAATTAAATTGTTTTTCTTTTGTTGCTATTTCTCATTGTTTTACAGGGTTTTTGTTCTTACACACATTTCTTATTTTGCAGGATTTTTGTTTCTACACACACTATTTATACAGCGAGGCCGACATGAGACCACATGGACTGTGTTACGAGCCTTTGGTTATGATGACAACCTTCAACTCACTAAAGAATACTTATCACCAAAGTAACCATTTATTTTGTCAGTAGTAAATTTTATTCACGGTTAAACTGATTCATGCTTTGCTAAATCTAACACTGGGAAAGTGGAAAATTTGCTGAACAAATAACTATATTGTTATTTTGTTTTAGTGACGTGCTGGTACAATATCTGATTTGATTCAATTCTTTTTTAAGATAAATGTACATGTACTCAACTATTTTGTTTCAGGATTCATGTTGGTTTAGGATGCACAACAGAATTATCTTTTCAAGGTCTACAATTTCTTAAGATTTTATTCCAAAAATATGATGAGGTAGGATTTTATAAGAGTACCATTCATACATTAGATGTATTGCCACTTTTTGTTTTAGTAGTTATTTCTATTCTTGTGAGTAATTATGAAGATGATAATTTATATAAGTTACCATCATTATATGTTTGTTGAGGACATGTCTCAGACTTTCAAAGGCTTCTGCTTCAAGTTCTGATGGGGGCACTAGATGTTGTATGTTGTGTCCTTATAGACACTTAATCATTGTCTTAGTCTTGCCAGGTGCAATAAGAGAGTTGATATACTCTGTGGCCTCATGAGTTAGGGAATATCTTATCTGTTATCTACTGTACATGTATACACCATAAACTCAGCCTGATTCACTAACTTGGTAACATGAATTTTTACTTTGTTATTATTTCAGGACAATGATGGTCATTTGTCTCCACCAGAGTTACAGAACTTGTTCAGTACATGTCCCATGATGCCCTGGGGTCCGGATGTAAACAATACCGTGTGTACCAATCATACTGGCTGGATATCTCTACATGGATATTTAGCTCAATGGGAGTAAGTACTGGAAAAGTTATAAGCATTTATTTGTTGATTTAAATGGAGCATATTAGCTCACTTGAACTCAAGGTAGAAGTTAGTTTTTAATGAGTTAATAAAATTTTGCATCTATGTATAGTCTGTCGACTTGCAAAGTAAGTAGTTTCCTTAAATTATATTGAAGACTTGAATGAAAGGGAAGTGCAGTTCATGTTAGCATTGCAGGTATCTTTGTTCAAATGTAAAATGCATGAGGTTCTTTGCATTGATTGAATCATGAGTAGTAATCACTGATTTGATATATTGCAGGTTAACTACACTTTTAGATGTCCCTAGGACAATAGAGTACCTTGCCTATTTAGGATATCGGTACCTTAACGACAGTCAGTTATCAGCTGTCACAGTGACAAGAGACAAGAAAATAGACTTAGAAAAGAAACAGACCAGCAGGAATGTGTTCAGGTGTCATGTTTTAGGGGCCAAAGGAGTGGGAAAGGTACTGCCATTTTATTACATTCATAGATTAGTATTCAGTGAGCACTATAAGTTTTGATTCTTTTTTATGAATATTTTTGTTTCTTATTATTTTATCACTTTTGAAATTTTTCAGACATCTTTACTACAAGGCCATTTAAATAGGAATCTTAGATATGTGGCCACTTTGAACAAGGAACACTTGTCAAGTTTCACCATTAACACAGTTCAGGTGTATGGACAGGAGAAATACTTACTGGTAACTTCCCAATTAATACAGTACTAGTAAGATGTGAAGAAGCATTTGGATGATTAATTTACAATTTTCTGTGTTCCTTAATGATGGTACTTAGACATTTTTGATATTTAAAACCATAGATTTTTTTCTGCATGTGAATAAGTATCTTTGGAGTTTAATATAATTGGACAAATCTTTTTATTAAGCTGTGTATCTTTGATTAATTGTAGCTCCATGAGGTAGACGTGGCCGTTAGTGACATGTTGAACCCGACAGAGATGAACTGTGATGTGGCCTGTCTAGTCTACGATGTCACCAACCCTCGCACATTTGAATTCTGTGCCAGAATGTACTTGGTAAAGGATACGTTTACATTTTCCCTCCTTCACAGGTTTCAAGATAATCCATATCAATGTACTCTAGAAAATCATTCTGTTTTCATATCTTACCTTTTCCGTCATCTAGATTGATACAACTTTTTGAGAAAATATAAAAGTATTGAGACAAAACATAATATATGAATGTATTATACAGTATCTAACCACTGGTTTATTGTCTTGTAGAAACATTTTCTGGACAGTCGTATACCAACTCTTGTGGTTGCCTGTAAAACAGAGCACCCGGCCATCAGGCAGGACTACATCATGACCCCCGCCCAGTTCTGTAACAAGTACAAACTCCCCCCTCCCCAGAGCTTTACATGTATAGACAAGGTCAACAAGGAGGTGTACATCAAACTGGCGACCATGGCCGCTTACCCGTAAGTCTCCGCTCTCAATCACTATACAGCTGCAGTGTTAAATATGAAACAGTAGATTCAGTCTTACGATATTCTTATCATTTCTCTAAGGTGTTCTCATTAAGCATGAGTAACGAGCCTGGTGATATTTTCTGGGTTTTCGTTTGCTTACTTTGTTGTAAACATGTAACCCTGTCCTTTTTTCAGCAACCTGAAACGTTTGGTCCATATGCTGCTTGTACAGCAGAACCCACTCTGGCTACAAGAAAGATTAAGGTCTCTCAGTCTCTCTGTCCCGTATTTATTGGTGTATTCTGCATGTTGTGCTTTGTAACAAGAGTATTATCAAGTTGTACATATATCTATTCCATTTATTGTATCTTCTTTCTATATTCATGGGGGTTTGATTTGTACATGCATGCGTCACCAGGTGTTTTTTTTTTTCATTTTTAGTTTTCTTGTTTGGAAATTCTTGTTTCAAATAAGAACATGGGCAATAAGATTTTATTTAAGCTTTAGATAAATCTACAATGAGATTAGTTTTTGATAAATGTTCCCTTGTTAAAGCTATAGAAATTGGGAGTGCCATGTGCATGTAGATGACACTGTTGGTTGTGTAATACATGTAATAGCAAACAGAAACATTATTTTCATTTAACAAATAAAAATTACAATTAGGGAAACACCAATTCAGCAATGTAATTTTGGTTGCAGGAAATCAATTAAACAGTGCCTAGATTGTTTTGGCTTAAAGATTAAAAAGTCTGAAAAATTAATTTTAATTTGATTTAAAGTAAAGAAAATCAAGTTTCAATATTACATATGTATTTCAAAGGGATTGAAAAAGGAACCATATGTTTAAGTATTTAGTTTACTGTAAGAAAATCCCTCCTTTATTGTCCCAATTAATTATGTTTGTTTCTTTGTTTATGTTTGGTTCTTGCCTCTTGTTAAGACATGCTTAGATATTAGGATTTGTTTTATTTGCAATTAGAGGACCGTTAAACTTAAGGTTATATTGTTTTGTGCAGCTCTAAAATTTATTGGAATTTTGTTCGGAAATTGATATAAATTTAAATCTTCACCAATATTGTCCATACTTAAAGAGTACAAGGGTAATTTTCCACATTCTTAGTTCATTATAACAATACTTTTAAAAAACGGCAAAAGTTCAGTCCCCTTTTAATCTGCCACTTTAAAGTATATTGTAATAACCAGTCTTGTTATACTGTAACTATTATTTTGGTTTGTGAAACAGATGTGGTGCTCTGTAAGTAATATATTATATAGAATGACTTTTCTATGCATCTTATTAACATTCTGAGTCGACTAACATATTCAGTATGATATCAATTCTTTTTCTTCACCTCTGCGAATTTAAGAGGCCATGATTATTTCAGTGTGAAAAAGTTTATGTCAGTGGTTTTCATTTGATGTTGTACTTTCTGCTTGTGAATTGTGTGATTTTAAAGAATATATATGTGAAGGCACCTTGTCATCATTATCTGATGTTAAAAAGCATTCATTTCTTGGTTCCTATTAACTCAATGTAAAAAATTAAAAAAATGAATAATCTTGAAAATTTTGGTAGCTATTATATTTTAGAAATACCACGTATAAAGTAAAAATTCAGCATTTTATTCATTAATTCATGTGATGAGATATAGAAAAATAAAGATTAAGTGATTGTTCAAGTAAAGGTTAAAAAGGATTTTTATTTCAAGCCATTGGCCACTGCACAGCAATGCTCAATCCTTGAAAATATGCATCAAAAATGTTGATTTTTAAAAGTGTGTTGTTATTTTGTAGGCATGTAAGAGAGATCATATCTCGAGACGAGAAGTTTTACCTGAAGATTGGTCTAGTCACTGCACTCTTAGCCGGGCTGGGATTTCTAGCGTATCGAATGACTCGCTCCTCTAGCTAATAATCAACTTACATCTTTAGTATCTGCTGGTGATGTCGTATTGAGATGAAATTGATTATACTCATGATATGTGATTAAGTTTAATGCTGATATTGAATTACCTGAGTTACAAAGAACAGTCAACTGAAACATTGTGAAATGTCTAAGGGATCTCTGTTAAATGCAGATTATTTCTGCACGAAACCAGTGATCTTCACATCCTTCAGTGACTAAGGATATTGTCTAAATCCATGTCATGTTAAAGTAGAACTACATGTATTGACAGTGGATATTTTAAACACTGCTGTTATTGAGACCATTTGGTTGTGTATAGGTTTTACTGTTGTGTACAATGTGTGTATGATATTCTGGGAGTTCTCAATTCATAAACACATGCACTTTGATGTCAGATCATTATTTTGTGGTCAAACCAAGGATAATTTATCATTATTTAATTTTACGCTGAAATATGACATTGAGTACACAATTTCATTGGTTAATACATATTTGCATGTAATTGAAGCAATGCAATTGTATTCAGAAAGGTAAAAAGTCTTTGAACAAGGCAAATAGTTGACAAAAGATGCTTTTTCTTTTCGACCAATAGGTTTCCTTTCTCAAACCTGGTTTAAGTCTTTCGTTAAGCATTGTCAACTCTAAGAGATGTATAAGTATACTGCATTCATTGTAACTCGAGTACGGCATCTTTTTAATATTGATTGTATTCTTCATTATTTCAGTGTTACTTAAAAAAAAAAATTCAGGTAAATGGACCACTGGGTATAAAGTATGAAAATCAATGAAATCATGATGTAAATCCAGAATAAATTAACTTAGTTCTCTCTGTTAAAGTTGAAGCCAGGTGCTTTTTGATTTAGCCATTTAATGTAAAAAATATACAAAAAAGATTTTATGTAAGTATTATATTTAATTTAATATTTTGGTATTAAACTCACTTTTCAATTCTGCAAAATAAGATGGGTGTGGTACTAGATGTATGTATGCATGTTTCTACATCACTTTACTGTAACACTGTAAAGTACCTCTGAATAAAGATAAAACAGAGTAATGTATATATGACATGATTTTTATTTATTATATACCAGGTATGTACAAGAAGGATGCTGAAGTACATGTATTGTGTGTGAACAACATTTTACCTCACAGATTATGCAAAATGATATAAATGCACATTTTTTTTTAAATCAGTAGAACCAAAGAATCAAGTGAGCAGTTCACACTGAACTTTTAGCTCACCTGATCCTAAGACTCGCATGTATGAGCTTTTCTTACTAAAGTGAGCTTTTGCAAGTCTACTCTGGGCATGTACTGGAGATGATAAGTTAAGAGGAAGAAAACAACAAAAACCACAGAAATTGGACAGTTTGGTATATACATGTTTAAATTTTTTAAAAAATCTTCTTCACAAGAACAGCAAGACAATGTTCAATTATATTTATATGGGGGCATCTTCAGGTAGTGAAGACTTATGTTGCTTTTTTTTTTCAAATCATCATCCTTTGGCCTAGAGTAGGGCCACCACTATAGGCAAACAGATTTTTTCTAATTCTTCTTAGGAACAGCAAAGCATTGATCTGTCTTATTATTTATATGGAAGCATGCTGAGGTAGTATAGATTCATTTAATTTTTTCTTCAAATTGTGTTCCCTAGTGAAAGGATTTGGCTACAATTGGATGATAAAATTTTAGTTTTGAAATGGAATATAAACAGGAAAAAACTGAATGCTGATGGAAAAAAAGGGACATTAATTGTTACTCCTGCAGGTGAGCATTGTGGCCAATGGACACCTTGAGTTGGAAAACTGATAGATTCTCATTTTTATTTACTTTAGACGTGTTGCGTATGACCAGTGTGTTTTGACTAAAAAAAATCCACCGCCCCTGAGGGATCTTTAAAGTTTATATGTATTGAAAATACTGCATATGTGCCTTTGTTACGATACATATTTATATAAAATGGCTTATCAGTATAGATTAGATATGGCACAAAAACGAACCAAATTTTGACCACTTTTGATCGCGAATCAACAAGGTACGAATTAACAAAAATCCAAGATGACGGCCTCCATGGACGCCATGAATGGTGATCAGGGTTGTGAAAAAGGACATGTACTGGAGGAATTTAAAGAAATCGAAGAAGTAAAGGGTCTGATTGGGTCTCTAGGCAACATCTACAATGACCAAATTGCGAGAGAGGCGTCATGTGAAAGATTCACTTGTAAATATGCATCGTTTTATTTTGCGATGACTCATGTTTGTTTTCCTTCAGAATTATCTCTGCAATTTTGAAGTCGCTGCAGGCTTAATTTATCCCCAGATTAATAATACTTACTTCATACTGGTTTATCTTGCTTATTTTTTTAAATGAACTGAAGATTTCAAAATCTTTTTAAAGTTTTTAGTATGTAACAGGGACATACGATAACAAATTTATTAAAATATATTATGTTTGACTATATATAGCTAAGGGGTGTCCACACTGTGGCTTGAACATACAACGTTCAGATTTAAAAAACAATGCTTTACCGACTGAGCTAAAGGGTTAACGCACTGGGTAGAATTATTAGGTGCATGGAGTTGATGGACGCACTAATTACATGTAAAACACATAGCCACTTTTAACTCTGTTACATAAGACTGTGGGCAAAATGGCCAAGTTGTTGTCCCAAGTAGTGGAAATATCTGGAAAAAAAACCTTTTGTTTGGGGCCTTCAGCTATCAAGGGACAACCGCTAGACTATTCCCCAAAGTAGCCATGAAATAAGTTACAAGATGTACAATGCACTTAATATGTGACTGAATTTTTTTCCTTTTTAGTCATTGTTGATGAGTATCAAGAACAGGACCACCACCTTTATTGATCCACACCTTGGTATGCTTGAATAAGTTATTTTCACTTTAAAAAAAAAAATGTTGGGTATAAAGTGAAATTTCTTAAACAAATAAACAAAATTTGTTTTATTTTAAAATCCTTTATGATGCAGATTGTTGATATTGTAAGAAAACCCCAAATTTCCCCCCTGCATTAAAACAGGAGGCTTATAAGTATTTATATCTCATTTTAAAAGGGGAAATTGTTTTAAAAATAAATGAATGATGCCTGAATTTCGAGTGCTCTATATATACCAGTATCACAACCGAAACTAGAAAATAGAAACTTTATTTTCACGTAGATGAGGGGGTTTAAGATTGTCATTCGCCATTTTCCACATGAAGTGTCAGATGTAGAACCAGTTCTGTCAGCAATGAGTCAGCAAGATCCGCAGGATTTTTAGGTACAGTGTATTTTATGTGAAATATAAAAATCTAATAATATACTGGGGAATCATTGACCTCCATGAAAAAAATGATTCCAAACAAATCACAATCAGTTAATTAACACATAATGGTGAAAGAGCTTTGAAGCTCATGTCTTTGTTAAAGTTGTATAGTCCGATCACAGGGATTTGTGGACAGGTAAAAGCAACATGATAAATAAGTGTAATAAATATAATTTGTGAAAAAATGTCCAACAAGCTCCAGGGTTGAATACAGGGGGGGGGGGGGGGGGGGTCCTGGCCACAAGTACTTGTGAGTCCCATGACTAAAATTTGCTTAGGTAAGGGGATAATGTCCATTATTTGATTTCTAGATTAAACTTGATCAGACTTGTACTACCTTATTTATTTGTATGGGAACATTTCAGTTTTAAAGTCATCAATCTTCTGAGTTCAATTACATGCAAATTATTTATCTGTATACAATAAAATAGGATAGGGTGAAAATATGCTGTAAAAAAAGTTTATTGAGATGCATTAAAAGATGGATGTAAAATATACTTGAGAGACCCAATTTATATTGTAATATTTGTCTGTGGTGTGTATGATCCCTTTGCACATGGCCAGACTGTACTGTATTTTTAAAAAAAATATTTTCTAGACTTGGGAGACCCGTTACATGCTGTTATTGTGGTTGTCTGTGGTGTGTATGATTCCTTTTGACATGGCCAGACTAGACAGCAATATTCCGTCACAGGATGGAGAGAAAAAGGCACCGTGATGGACGAATCCTGAACACGGCTCAGGTAAGAAGTGCCATAAATGTATTCTCAGAATGACAGTTACCTTTCTAATGCTTAAATCCTTTAGAAAGGGTTTAAGACTTATGGTTGTGCTTACAACTTCACAAGCCCCAATGGGGCCGTCACCCCCAAATTTGGAAAAATCGGACCCATTCCCAATGGCACAAATTGCTATTTTTCCCGATTTCATGCGGGAAAAAAATTTTCCCCAAACACGTTTTCTCGTATATACGACCTAATTTTCCACACACACATCCTTTATTTGATCCATTTAGCAGTAATGCATGATTAATTTTAATCTAAAACAACCCTGTCATGATCGTTTATTTCTAATTCGAATTTCCTCTGTCATGGAATAAAAGATCTATAGATAGGTTAAAAATAATTGGGTTGGGGGGAAATTTTTTTCATTATTAAACAAGGATAACCATTACAAGTTAGTTTATAAAATAAATAAATATATTTTAAAGTAAAATCTTGGACACTATCTATTTCATTTGCATGAATCAAATGTCAAGAAAAAAAAAGAAATAAATTGTATGCAATTTTATACTAACCTTTAAGGGAAAATTTTAAATAGTAACTTGATCATTTAAATAAAACTATTCTTAATAATCTAATTTTTAATTTATTTAAGGTGCAATTAAACAGTAAAAATCCCCCCCCCACATTTTTTTCAGTCTCTTTTTTCATATGAAAATAAAAGAAAAAAAATGTCTGTCTAGTAATTAAAAAAGTTTGGTCTGTTAAATATAGATTTTTTTTCCGACCTTTTTGTTCTGTAAATTTTAGCTTTTCAAGTATACTTTTTAAAGTGATAAATGGCTTTCACGATTAAATATTTTTTCTTGGGGAGGGGGGAGGGGGGGGGGTTAATACATGTAAGTATGTTTAAAATTTTTAATTTGACAAAAATGTTTAGGAATTTTTTCCCCAAATTTTGAGGGACCTGGTCCGTGTATACCAAAAGGTGGGTGTGAAGCCCTGCCCTATTATTTAAATTTGGTTTGATTCTGTTACAGATTTTTTTCTAACAGTAAATGACAAATGCCGAGATGCTAACATACCTCGCCTTTTCCAAAATTTTGGACGCGTTAGATGTCAAACGAGAAAAACTACCAGAATTCCTGGACTGGTCCTTACAAGTTCTTCACAATGCAAACAGTATGTTCATATTCTCTACAGTACAAATAATGGAATTTATAACAACTAAAACTAATATTACAAATCCTTTTTAAAAAACCCTGTATACAAGAGATTATGAATGCTTTATAAGAGAATTCTTACCTCACTTTTGAATGGGCATGCTTTGTGGGTTTTTTTAGTGGAAAAAATAGTTGGGAACAATCAAGTCAGTGGAGTATTGACCATGTTGGCTCTACTGTTTAAACAAGGGAAAAGAGAAGAAATTTTCTACATTATGGTAAGACAAAGAGATGCAGTAAACATGCTTAGTACAAAATGTCAAAAAGGGAAAGGGAAAATTTTCCTTCATTTTAATTGCAGTGTGTTATATCCCCAAAAAGTATTTTAAAATTATTTTGGAATGAAATTCATTTCAATGTGAGGATTAAGTCATTATAAGCATTTTTCACTTAACTTCACTATAAGGTGTTTAGATGATATCTAGGCAATGAAAAAAACCCTGATCAAATTCCATTTTTTTTTCCAGCTTTTACAAATTTTCATGTGGTAGAGAAGCTAGAACTGAATAAAAAACAACAACACACTGCTGAGGAAGGCTTCTGTCAAGGTCACTCAAAGGCTGGGACTGACATTTCTGAAGGCCAGGATAGCAACATGGAGGTCTGTTTATAGTGTGTTTACTTTTGAGTTCACCTGAGCCAAAGACTTGAGTTATATTTTGAATCAAAGTTTGTGCATCTGTTTGTCTGCTAGTTTTTCCACATCCTGACATCTTTTTGCAATGGCTGGTGAATAGTTTAAAACCTTGGTGTAAAGCATATTTGGTTAAGGAAACTCAAGTTTGCTCAAG